AGTGCCAGATGCCATCGAATGTGAGCATTTGCCCACTCAAGTCGGTTACGACGACGAACTGCAGTCAGGTCGAGACCCCGATGAGGACGACGAGCATGCAGATGAGCTTCCATGAGACGGTTTCTGACAGTGTGTGCAGAAATTCTTTGATTATGCAAACTGATTGTTGCAGCAGCTGTCCAGGTGGCAGGTCTCAGACGATCTTGGAGGTGAAGATGCTAAGTCTTAGATCTTTGAGTTCAGCTCATGAAAAATGGGGGCAAAAACAAGTGTTGCATTTATAATTTTGTTCAGTGTATATATATATACAGTATATATATATAAAGAGAGAAAGAGAGAGAGAGAGAGATAGATACACATACATATATATATACACTGTATATACATATATATATATATATATATATATAAAAAAAACGCACATCCATTAGACATTTTCTTGGTCATGCTGCAAAGGTGCATGCATGCAGATGTGACCGACTAAAAAGTGCACCTACCTTGCTCAGTCATTCTTAAACTTCTTCAACATATAGTCACAGGGAATGGTGTTACTACAACCTTGCAGGAAACTATAAGCCAAAACGTCTATGCAAGGTGGAGGGTGTATTACAGCTAAGATTAGCTAACTTGCTCAAATGTCAGAGGTCCTATAAGAGGAAAGGATGTATCCGTCCGTGTTGAACAGATCCGTGACCAGACTTTAACAAGAGACCCTCTGTGTAAAGATAGAAGATGTCTAATCAAACACCCTTTCAATGTTAAGTCCTCTGTTGGCACAATGGCATCAACAAGGTTGCTTGTTAATAGCAAACAGGGTCAGCCCAGCACAGATTGACGTGTAACTGCAGGTGGATCATTCTGATAGCATGAAGAAACAAAAAGGCGTGTTTTATAATTTTTATTCACTCACTCCCTATTCTCAACATCCTGTTGGCAAAGTCTGTACTTGAATATTACAATATAAGGGAATCTCTTTGAAAAGAAAAATGAAAGAAGAGATACAACACAGTCAAACACCACTAAACTTATAACAGTCTTCTGCTTACAGCAAGGACAGACGTTCTCATACTTGTTTCAGGTACGTCAGTGGGATCTAGCCATTAACTAGTTGAACGATAAAGAAAACACTGACTCTGAAAAGACTGACAACTACTGAAACATATATAATTGATAAATTAAGACATCTGTAATCAAACAGGGCACATAATGCCTTGCTATATAGGGGCAAGAAAATGAATACCGATGAGAAAAGAAAAGTTTAATCAATAAATTGGAAACCTTTTATAAATCGGTACTGCTACCCTATTAAAATATTCAGTTCTGGCAACTAGGAAAGAGTATACAAAGACTTGTTGCTATCTATATTTTATGTTAAGACAGTTTCATAAATAGCGACAAGCGGGAAAGTGACAGAAAATTTCTTACACAAGAAACGTGGCATGCTAGTGGGAGGTATTGCACACCTCCAGAGGTGAGGGCAGGGTAGCATGACGAGGCAGTCATCTGACACAACACTATAGCTAGAGGCAGCATTTAAACATGGAGTGCAGGTCCATACAAAGCTCTGCATTCAAACACACACACACACACACACACACATTCTACTGTTGAAGATAGATCTAAAATGGGAGTGGAAACGTGTATTGCTTTAGAAAAATGCACCAACACACCTAGTTTCCCTGTAACTTGTCATTATATCACACCTTCCACAGAATTCATTTTAAATGGTTAATTTACAGAAAAATGTAAAAAATTATTACTTAATCGCGTTGTTTCTGTACATGTATGATTAACTTCTTTGGAACACATAAGGAGAAATTTAGAGGAATGCAGAGGATTCTTGTGCTATATTTCAAGTGTAGTGAAAGCATACATTAGTTCAGTGGTTTTCAAACCTCTCCACGAAGTACCCCCAGCACTGCACGTTTTGTATGTCTCCCCATATCTGACACACCCACTTCAGGTCTTGCAGTCTCCACTAATGAGCTGATGAGTTGAATCAGGTGTGATAGATGAGGGAGACATACAAAATGTGCAGGGCTGGGGGTACTCCAGGACAGGTTTGAGAACCACTGCACTAGTTCATACATTAGTGAAGGCATACAGAAAAAACATATCAAGTTTACATATTTCCCTCTGCCAGAGCTCTAAAATCTTGTTTAAAAATGGAATGTGAAGAGTCATGCCAAGTTTATGTAAACGGGGAACTCTGAGATACACGTCCATTCAAAAGTCTGGGGTTAGTAAAAAAAATTTTTTTTTTCAAACTTTTATTCAGCAAAGTATAAAATTTATCAAAAGTCACAGTAAAGACATATTACAAAATATTTCTATTTTCTACAAAATTCTATTAAGCAGCACAACCGTTTTCAATATTTATAATAAGAAGAAATGTTTCTTGAGCACCAAATTAACATAATAGAACGATTTCTGAAGGATCTGTGACACTGAAGACTTGAGTAATGGCTGCTGAAAAATGAAAATTTAATTTTACCATTACATTTGAAAATATATTAAAACAGCAAACAGTTATATTAAATTGTAATGTTGTTTCACAATATTACAGATTTTACCTTTTTTTTTTTTTTCAAACAAATGCAGCCTTGGTGAGCAAAACAGACTTTAAATAAAATAAAAAAAATCTTACCACAAACTTTTGAACGATATGTGTGAAAGATATGACTGCTACGTTGGAGGGGAAGATAATCAGTTTCTCATACAAAGCTATCATATGGCGTCAGTAGTCTTGAAATATAGTGGAGTCATATGGGCTACTTTTATGCTGCTTTTTATCAATTGAGGATTTTGAAAGGCTAGTCACTGTATGATTTTTTTCTCTTTTTTTCATAGAACACAAGTGATACAGGGTGAGCAAATGGCAGAATTTTAGTTTCCTTTAAAGCTTTTCGAACGAACCACATTATAAACCTGAGACCACCTATAGAGCCTTATGCAGTTCTCACAAAAATTCAAATAATTGGTCAAAGTAACATGATGAGCTTTATGTCCTCAGGGGAGGAGGTGCATCTGAGAGGCCACAAGGCCATTTCAGATATTGCTGTTGTAGTTTGAGATGGAGCTGCAGGTGTGTCCATTGACAATTTTCAGCGAGGGGCTCCTGACATTCATAATCTGACATAACCTGAAGCAAGAAAATTTAGAGTATATGCTCAAGGTGAAACGATTTAGATGACCGGATCATTTTATGACCAAACCAGCCAAGATAAGTAAAACTTCCCAATGCTACTTCCTTCTGAAAGTGTAAGCCAGAAACACACTCACATGCACAAACTCCCTTTTGATCTTGCACACCAACATCTAAAAGCACAATACAATCATAAACACCATTTTTCAAACACTTAACATCAGCCACAGTCATTTGAAGATAAGAGTTGGAGGAAAAGGGGGATTTGTCAGCAGCAACTTGACCATGAAAGCAGCCAGCTGAATTTCATCATGGCGCTGAGCTTTGAATAAGCCAGAACTAAAGAACTTCAGAAAAAAGAGGGGCTGAACACACCTGTGCATTCGTGTTAGCTTCTGCCAGGGAGGCCAAAGGTCTGACCCAGGCTCAAATGCCCCCAACCATTACTTACGACAACCATGCTGATCCCCTTTCTTCCAAATCCAGCTTCAAAGCTTATAATTATCTTGACAGGCACAGGGGGGTTCTGAAACTGCAAACCATTTTTATTCTGTCTTTGGGTTTCAGCCTACACTCTTAAAAATAAAGGTGCTTCAAAAGGTTCTTCACAGCGATGCCATAGAAGAACCATTTTTGGTTCCACAAAGAACCATTCAGTCAAAGGTTCTTTAAAGAACCATCTCTTTATTACCTTTTTATAATCTGAAGAACCTTCTTTCGCCACAAAGAACCTTTTGTGAAACAGAATGGTTCTTCAGATGTTAAAGGTTCTTCATGGAACCATTTAGACAAAAAGGTTCTTCTATGGCATCGTGAAGCACCTTTATTTTTAAGAGTGTAAGCAATGTGAAACTCAAAGAAATCATCTTTACATGCAAAGTCAGACAAACACTGCAGCATATTAAGAGTGCTGCATTGGATTATTAAATGCATAATTGAAATAATTCAACCACACGGTCATTACCCGGTCCATCTGAATCAAATGTATCCAGGATATTCCAAGAACCCAACATCAACTTGCTGGAAAAGTCAAACTTTAAACTTTGAGTGCAAACTCCTGCAGGCGACTGATGCATTAGACAGCCAGTTCTAAACTGAAGATCGGGCTGAAAGGTCCTAAACCTGATCTAGGTCAGCTAAATATAAAGACTAATTTAAGCCCTGAAGAGAAAGTGACTTAATCATAACCACAGACCAGTTAACAGAGCCTATTTTTGTCATTATCACCCTCTTGTCTGGTCTGTTCGCCTTAAAACGGCATCCTGCGATACAACTCTAGATTCACTAGTAAGTGCAGGCAAAGTGTTTGCTAATCAGTAACAAGGACATCACTCTAAGCTTCTACAGCCTCCTCCTGTTTGCATGAAACATAAATATATGCAATATATTATAGAATCTATGAAATAAACAAATGCATTTTGTTACTTCTTGAACTTTATAATAGTTTATAACTCAAAACAAGACAACAAACAGCATGAAATGGACACTGTTTAGAACAAATTTGTCTGACTCCAACGCAAGACCATATAAAGAGTCTATTTGTGCCTTTCCAAACCAAACCACCTTATCTAGTGTTGTCAAAGGTTATTGAGATATTTAAGATGGTAGAAAATAAGATTGTTGTGGAATGCCTTAATAAAGAATGATTATAGATAAACTATACTGTTCAAAAGTTTAGAGCCGGTAAAACTTTTATATTAATTTAATATTTTTTTATATTAATATATATATATATATATTTTTTTTTTTTTCTCTTCTGTTTTAAAACTTTAAAAAAAATGTTTTTTAATACGCCTCTTATGCTCACCATGGCTGCATTTGTTTAATCAAAAATACAGTACAATAATATTGTGAAATATCAGTATCAAGATTAAGAAATATTCATTTAAAATAATTGCTTTCTATTTTAATATATTTTAAAATGTAATTTATTCCTGTGATGGCAAACTGAATTTTCAGCAGTCATTACTCCAGTCTTCAGTGTCACATGACCCTTAAGAAATCATTCTAATATGCCGATTTGTTGCTCAAGAAACATTTTTTTATTATTATAAATGTTGAAGACAGTTGTGCTGCTTAATATTTTTGTGGAAACTGAAACATTTTTCAAGATTCTCTGATATTGAAATATTGTGTAACATTATAAACATCTTTACTGAAACTTGAGGCCAATTTAATGCATCCTTGCAAAATAAAAAAAAAATCAATCTATTACAAAAAATCTTACTGACCACAAAACTTTGTGTAATGCATATAGCAAGACCAATCTTATTCCTGCATTTGAGAAATTTGAGGTAATAATAGTGCATTTTTATTTGCATGAATAGTCAGAAAATATTACATCGCCTCTGTTCTATTGAACAGTGTAATATCTGATAGAGCATGACATTGACTTGCACTCAGTGCTGTGTATTAATGATAGCTGCTTTTGAAGAATAGCCGAGATCCGTCCTTTATAATCCAAAAATCTAATGTTAAATTGCTAAGTAGCTTAATTATAACAGAAAGGGTTGCATGAGCTAATATACACAGTAGAATATGTTGTTACAAATGGACAAAAAAGGTCTTTCAAAAGTAAAAAGCTGCCCAAATGCAGTAAAATACCTTACAAAACATTAATTGGTTTTGTTCATGCATTTTTATACTTATTTGCTAGTAGTTGGTGTCTATTCATGACCTGAGCACAGATTTAGGAGGCCGATTTGGAATGCACCTCTGATTCCAGTTCTTCTCTATTTTTGGAATGTGTTTCATCTCTTAAAGCTGGACTCTATAACACCAGGAACTAATCCACAAAGCACAAACACACATTTACTAAATGGGGACATTCCATAGACTTTTATTGTTTTTATATATAAAACTAATTATGAATGTTATAACCTAACCCTAACAAAAACTTTCAGCATTTTACAATCTAAAAGGGAAAAAAACTATATTTTTAGACCATTTTTACAAATGAGGACTTAACCAAAAGGAGGTTTTGTTGAATTTGGAATGCACCTCTGATTCCAGTTCTTCTCTATTTTTGGAATGTTTCATCTCTTAAAGCTGGACTCTATAACACCAGGAACTAATCCACAAAGCACAAACACACATTTACTAAATGGGGACATTCCATAGACTTTTATTGTTTTTATATATAAAACTAATTATGAATGTTATAACCTAACCCTAACAAAAACTTTCAGCATTTTACAATCTAAAAGGGAATAAAACTATATTTTTAGACCATTTTTACAAATGAGGACTTAACCAAAAGGAGGTTTTGTTGATTTTTTGACATTTTGATGCCAGACTAAATTGGGGTTACACTGAGCCAGCCAATACTACAAGACTTTTGTGTGAGTCCAAGTGCAGTACAATTATCTGACAACACTGCCATCTACAGGTTTCCAACATACACAGTTTCAGTAAATGAGTGCATGAGCACAAATACAATAGAACTAATTAACGAACCAACGACCCAAATACAAGCACAAATACAATTAAAATACATAAAACTATTACGTTTTCTTCCCTATCAATCAAACATTCAAAACATGCATACCAAAAAACATCCATTATGTCCAATTATCTCGCTTTTAGGAAAAAAAAGTAATGTAAAGCATGCATGAAAGCATCTGAGGGAAAACAGTTCACCCCAAACTCACCGCTTCATTTAACAATGATCCAGCCCTTTTACTCCACAGGGTGTATAGAGGGGACAGGCACACAGAGTAGGTCCCCATCTACAACACACTGTCTCACTATCTGTCCCCCTTTTCTCTGACAAATGGATGTCTTTTCCTACTCACCTCGTTCTATTACTTTTGCAACTAAATGAAACAATGTGTTGTTGTTGTTTTTTTCTATCTTTTGTTTCCATCCTATCTCCTCACCTCTGTCCAACCATGCATTTGACCAAGGACAGACTGGAGCCAGTTATTTGTTTAGCTCTCCAGTGGAGCCAGGCAGACTGAGAGGCCCAGCGGCCGCTCTTCTCGTGATAAAGAGTTTGAGAGGGCTGGAAGCCAAGGGAGCCTCCCAGAGTTACAGCCATTGAATGCTCCACTACCATGCTTTATTTATCAAAATGCATATCAAATTATATTGTAGTGCTGGGCGGTATGACCAAAAATTTATATCACGGTATTTTCCAAAATTATACCAGTTTCACGGTACATGACGGTATTTTTTTTTTCATGCATGACCGGGTGTTAACCATATTTTCTACTGATTGAGAGAGGAAATACTGCAGTATATTGACTTAAAATACCCTATTTTACTGTCATGATGAGTGAATATTGTCAAAAAAATACCACACTAAATAGTTACTAAACATTAATACATGTTAACCAGGAGTCACTCTCATTTATAATCGCGGCATTGTCTGATAAAATCAACATGCATCTACACTAAAGTGAAGTACACTACACTATGCGGTTGTTTTGGCTATATTACTTTTTTGTCTCATGCAGCGCACTGCCTGCGTCGGAGTAACAAACTAAAAAAAAACAACAAACAAAAAGGTGCATGTGATATAAACAGATGAACTACGCTCATATTTATAATTCCAAACAATTTTAAAAATTCATATGATAACAAAAATAAACCCCGGTATTCGGTATGAACCGGTATACCGCCCAGCACTATTATACTGCTTTGTCTCAGACAATTGTGTCTAAGGGGCTCCTTGACCTTCTAAAAAACATAAGCTTTAGTCAACCTTGTGAAATGGATGAAAGAAGGATGAAAATGCTTAGTTGTGTTCACACTGGCTTGGTTTGAAATCCACTGAAACTGATGACAGACACAAGGTTTTTGGTTTCCTCAGCTAGACAGTTTTCAAAGTCAACGCAGGGACCAGAGGAGAATTTATGAGAATGAAATATTTCTAATTATATTTCTAATATAATTAATATAATTTATTATCTTTAATCTTCAATATCTTAATGTATATTAAAATATAGAAATATAGTTACTGCTACTACACATAATCCCCAAATAAAATTAATTTGAAAGGAAGGAAGAAAGAAAGAAAGAAAGAAAGAACGAACGAAAGAACGAAATTGAAAACCCAAAGGGTGCTCCATGTTGACAGACACTACAGGAATGTTTTAGACAGCAGTTACAAAAAAGCAAGAGAAATTCCAATGCTAAACACACCTTGCCAGCCTTAATTAGAGCTGCGTTTAAAGGCTAAAGGGTTTTGTTTGGCTTAACCACTTAAGCTGGTTAGAACATAATGGTGCTAATGAGAAAGGGCCCATTCCGGGGGGCTGGGAAGAGAGGGGGTTGATTAAGCTGGGAAATGCATGGAATGGGCAAACCTTGGCATCCAACGGACATGAACCCTCTAAAAAAGCAATTACCAGAAGAATTAACTGGTACAACATACACAAACTCACAGGCACATTTCATCAGAAGTGTCATCCATCACCAGAGCTTTTCACTGCGATTTCTGATCAGAATCAGAATCGTTAGCTTTCACACAAGTGTCCCACCAGATTTTGTCAGAAAAAGCATTGAAAATCAATTTTCCCTCTGCTCCCCACGCTACAGGTCCCTATGATCCTGAAGCCACATCCATAGCTGTTGCCCTGCCCGAAATCAGCACAACAAAGACCCAGAGCATCCCCTGTGAAAGTTTGGGAAATCATTCATCTGCTATGTTTTCAATCGAGTGAGCAACCGTAAAGCAGGCAACAATACATTTCAGGGAGGTACTGGGATACGTTTGTAAAACTCACTTTAATAGATGCCAATGACGGACACAGGTGATGATAAGCAAGAACTGGCTCAATCTCAGCTACCGAAAGAGTTTCCAGATCAAAAAAGAGACATAATAGCAACAAACAAACATTAATACGGCAAAGAATCTTAATAGTGGTCTAATGTATTCCATCTGAATTAATTTTCTAAACCTTATCCACTGTTTATGCACGGCCATCTGCTGAGCATCGACTTAGACCAGCTGTTCAACACCAACATTTGAGTCTCTAAATAAGATAGAATCTCCCCTAGCCGGCCACTATTCTGGTAGCCTTTTGTCTCCAGTTGTAGAGATGGTCTGGAGGGACTTCCGAGGTGACGTCATGGCCAAGGATAACCATTAAATGGCTTCTTTCAGCCATTCATGCTGATATTAAGTGGACCAATACGGCATGAGCTTATCAGCAGGAACTGAGAGATGCTCTTTAAGGTCCTCTGATATGTAGAGAGAACATATTCCCATAGCTAAATGATAAGCCGTATAATGTTATCTGAGAATGAATGACCTGAGGAGAGCTTGGTGGGAACAGAAATATGAGTAAGTAGAAACCTTGACGATTTAGACGCATCAAGTTAAAAATAAGAAAACAAAACAAGACACACATAGCTATTTGTTGTCTAAAACTTTTCAGTTGTTTACTGGCAGCAAGTGTGGGAGAGAGGTAGATAATGGTGTTGTCACAGTGAAGTGATTTGTCTCACCACACAGACAAGGAAGAGAAACTGTGAGGATCCCATCTGGGTTAGTCACTGGCAGACGAAGCCAGTTTGAGGAATCCCCCACATTTACACCGTGTAACTGCCATCCAACACACACACTTTTCCACCCGTCCCATTCTCCCCATGGGATCTGTCAGACTACTAAAGCATGCTCTGTAAAACCTCTCATGACTAGGAATGAATGCAGTAGACACAATCTGGCAATAGAAATTTTAATTGCTTCCTGTATAACAACTAAAGGCAGGAATAGGCTTAACAATAGTGATGGGGGTGCATGAATACTTATATAGGGCATTGACTTGCTTCCCATAAAGATTGATTTAAGAACCGGTTGTAAAAAATTTTTTATATATAACCACTCTGGTGTAGAATTTTTTTTTTAAATGTAAATTTTTGCTTATATACTTAACATTTAAAAGGTCAGTAATATTTTATTTTTTTAAAGAATTCAAATAAATGCTGCCCTTTTGAACTATTCAAAGAAATCTGAAAAAAATGTGTCACGGTTTCCACAAAAAATATTAAAAAGCACAACCGTTTTAAACACTGATAATAAGAAATGTTTCTTGAGCAGCAAATCAACATATTAGGGTTATTTCTGAAGGATCATATGACACTAAACACTGCTGAAAATGCAGCTTTGCCATCACATGAATAAGTGACATTTATTTTAATGTTATTTCACAATATTACTGTTTTAATGTATTTTAAACCAAGTAAATGCAGCCTTGATGAGACTTCTTTTTTCTTTTTTTTTTTCTTTTTTTTAAATCGTAACAACTCCAATCTTTTGTACGTTAGTGTATATAGTAACCCATATTCTTGTCAACTTCATAAAGAAGACGTGAAAAGAAGCTGTTTAGACTACAAAAGAATGACTGAAATGGTTAGCTAACGACAGTAAAATAATAATTTACCAGATTAACACCTTGTGTGTGCGGTGCTTTCCCTAGTTCTTTTGAAAGAGACATTATAGTCTGTAAATGAATCCTTCTGTCTGCTTAAACTGAAAGGTATAATGTGTGCTGTGGTTGACAACATGTCAGCAGCATCTACAAAACCATTGACAAATCCAGCATGTTCACAAAAGGCCTCTGTCTGGGTATTCACACACAAGCAACCAAAGTAAATCACAAACAACCCTCTAACTGAACACCTATCAGTTTTTTTTAAAACATGAAAATGAGGAAAGGAAATATTCAGTAAGTTGAGGCCAAATGGCCTTTCTCCATAAAACAACAGTGGACAGAATGTGTTAAAATGGCATTTATTTACAAATCGAGGCATTCATGCATGCACATTCAGCAAGAAAAAAATGTCCTATTAGAATAAGAACACTTATAAGAATTTTTTTTTTTAAAAAGTGACATCGGGAGATACAGGAGAGTCTAACCAAAAAAGAAAATTCTATCATCATTTACTCACCCTCAAGTTGTTCCAAACCTGACTTTCTTGACTGTATGACCTTTCTTTTGTGTAACATAAAAGATGATATTGTGAAGAATGTTGGGAACCAGTGGCGTAACTACAGACAGTGCAGGCAGTGCAGCCGCACTGGGGCCCGTGCCGCTACATTGCAAGCGACTATATTAATATAAATTAATAATAAACGTATTAATAATGAAATACAATTAGTACCAAGATTCTTCACAGTACTGATTAAATACATAAATTCTGGGTTCTAATCCACCCTCGTGTAGTTTTTCTCTCATTAAAACCAAAGGTGTTCATCAGTGATTGTATATCAAGAGCAAGGACATGTTTGTGTGCATTTTGTTTTGTGATTTTACCAGAACAAAGCGTACGATCGTCTGTGTGAAGACTGCGCATTGTGCACGAGTGCCAAGAGACAACTGATAACAGCAGCAACGGGCGCTCACCATAACACATTCCAGCGATAGATCACCTGTTGTTTAACACAGACCAATGAATGTGTTATCAAATGGAGTTCTGTTCAAATGTTCTTTAGGTACATCCGTGCGTGCCGCGAGATGTTGCAAAAAGTGGTGGGGGGTCGTGGGGACACACGTCCCACCTGTAAATAAAAATATAACACGGAATGAATAGTCTTGTTTTAGTTGTTATATGTCATTTCCACGACTTTCCAAAAGAGGAGAAAAATATTTAGATTGACATGTCAAATTTGCCGTCACTCCCTCAGCCGTTGTATAGAAACACCCTCGCAGCAGCAGCGCTAATTCTTTTTTTTTTAATTTACTGTCAAGGTAATATAAGACAAAGTAGAGCATTATAAATGTGTTTTATTTTTAAATGAAGATATTTAAAAATGACTAGATCTGTGATGTTGACAACTGTGGAAATGGGTCATCACAGTCCAATCTTAAGTCTATATTTGAGTAATGCATTCGGACAGGTAAAGGGTCTACTTTTAGTTGTGTGCATTCACAATATCAACAAAACGTTGTGATAATGAAAAAACAAAAACTCTTTCATTATGTAATCCGTAAAGATGCATTTCTCTCTAAAGGCACGTCCAATGAGGAGATGGCGAGTCATTTTTTTCATCACCATCTAAACTATAAAAATAAGGAAAAGCCTTAAACAGGCCAGATTATATTTTTTCTGATTTTTATGCTGCTCTGCTCTGGTGGGAACCAAACAGTTTTGCTTACCACTGACTCTCATTGTATGGACAAAAAAAAAAGTAAGTCAATAGGAACCAAAACTGTTTGGTTCCCAACATTCTTCACATTATGAACGACATGAGGGTGACTAAATGATGGAAGAATGCATGTACTTTCACATACGTATCCCCAAACTCTCTCACTACAAACTTCAGTCATCATCAGTGACAACAATTTATCCATAGAATTTCCTTATACCACTAAAAATTTTTGGCATATTTTATTAATATTCTGATAATCTGAATATTATGTCCCACAGATAATTCAACATGGTGAGAATTTTTTATCAATGAGCTAAAAAGGTAATGTTGACGTGCAGGTGGCCTGATAATTTCAATAAACAAAGTAGGTGGTGAGATCCTGCTCTGTCATTTAAACAAACACACAAAACTCTGTTGTGATTTTTCTGTCAGTAAACTAACTTGTTTGATTCTTCTCAAAAAGCATGAAGGGTGGATGAAAAGACACATTAGAAGGATGAATCCAGATGGAAATTTGGTTACCTAGGTGAACCTGCCCCTATTAGTGAAAACAGAAATCTGAGAAGGCTATTATGAACTGGACTCTGCTTTAGCTCAGCACTGAGCTTAGAGAAGCTAAGCACTGAATCCCACACAGACAGCCAGGTTGTTTCAGATTAACAATAAGCATGAAGGTACCAAATTCAGTTTGATTTAAACATTAGTTAGATATGGGCCAATCTAATAATGTGGTGTTTAATCACACTTTAGAGTATTTATACATGTGTTATCAACAGAAGCATATATTTATGTTAGCATGTCTGAACATAAAGAACAGCTGCATGCTTGTACTGGTTGAGATAAGATCATTGAGAAATCAAGTTTATTGCTTAATATTTAGCATTTAACAGGATGTTCACAACAAGCATTTGCAGGACATCAACAGGAAAAAAATTACATTACAGGGATTTGGAACAACATGAGGTAAATAATGACAATTTATTTTTGAGTGAACTGTCCCTTTAACTACTATACTAAAGTTAGTCAAAACTTTATTAGCTAGAGGCTTATTTTGGAGGGAGGAATATACCATACCATTGAATATACCTACATTACTTGAAGCTCCTTGATGGCTAATGTCAAAATGGCAATTGCACAATGTGCAATTTGCTAGACTTCATGTTAAATATTTTTCATAGGTTAGTACTCAGAGTCTGCACTCAGTTTGTGATAGGGGTGCTCCGATCAGGATTTTTGAGGCCGATCACCGATCGCCGATCACAGACAGCAGTATCTGCCGATACTGATCTTTTTAAAGCCTTCTTTTTATAATTTATAACTATTTATAGTGATACTCCAATCAATATTTTTAGAAAACGGGGGGAATTCCCCTCTTAGGTTTATGGTGTAATTACTACATTTTCGTGTCAATCCATCCATGTTCATATTTACTGCAAACAATGCGCTGTTACTTTAATTCAGCGCTTCCAGCGCAGCAATAGACTCAGTGCGGAAACGAGCGGAAACGATCTCTGCACTGCTGCAGATGCACCTCTCCTGAACGCACTGCAGGACCACATCTTTTTCTGTTGCTTGTTTACTGCGCGTGGACAGGTCACCGGGTTTTTGCGTAGTTTAGAGTGACAAATCGTACCAGCGTACTTTAAGGTCAAAATGCGTACCCGCTACGCAAAAATGCGTAAACGCCATGTTTATTTCAAGGTGGTTGTCCAAAACAGTGAAACCAACAGACAAAAAAAAAAGTTCACGTCAAGAATGAAAGTCATGTTGATGAGTTTTTAAGTTAGGTTAGGCAATTTTGGAAAGAGAGGCTAGCAATAGCAAGCTAGCTTTGAAAGCATAAGATCCCACCCTCCCTGCAAATCACTCTCCAAACCACGCCTCCTCCAAAACACATGAACATGCACAGGAGACCAGAGGCTAACCAGCAACACGATGAGAGACAGCGTTGGTGGAGGGTTGAATGCAACG